TATATATACATGTGTGTGTGTTTGTGTGCGTACATATAAATATAAAACAGTGTGAGATCTCTTTGTGATGTGGTACAAAGCAGATAAATGGGCAGAGGGAGTGCATGTGGTGCGGGCTCTTGGAGAAATCAGCCAACAAGTAATGGGGAATCTTCTCCGGGTCGACGAATACGAGGGGACCAATTTGGGGGGCACAAATTTCTTCTTTTTGTTTAAAGTTCATCGAAAGGAATGCTATTTTCACACACACACACACACACACACACACACCCCCGCTCTATATTTTTCGATACCTGCTCTAAGAAAAGAAAATGAAAATTAATACGGGAGCCGCGCCTCACAAAAGAAGCCATTCGTCTTGTTGATTATCTATTTGGTTGTCAGGGTTTGAGCTATTGCGCCGGCCCGTTCCCTTTTCGTAAAAAAAGAAAAAAAAAAGAAAAAAAACACGCGCACACTTTCTGTCCATGATGTAGAATTAAACAACAGCTGGGCAAAATGTGCACCAATTTACACAATACATGATCTAGAAGAAAAAAATAAAAAAATATTTTTTACCTCAGATTTATTTCATGTTTTTTTTTATTTATTATTATTATTATTGTTATTATTATTATTATTATTTTTTTTTTTTACAGAGTTCATTGCGGAGGGGGGTCTGGTTCTGTGCTGGGCGGATCTGAGCAGCCGTTAAATTAACGGGAGAAAGGAGTGAGACGGAGGGACGGGCTCGTGATTTAAAACGAGATTACAGGACGTAATGTACCAAGATCAGTCATGGCCGGGACAGATTAATCATCACGGCGTGTGAGTCCTGCAGACAGCTCGTGCGTCTTTGCAGTCCAAAAGCAAACATAACAAACAAACGAAGTGTTGATTTTTTTTTCTTACTCACATTTAATGAGAAAGTATAGCCCGCACGGACATGCGCACCTGATCTAATATTATTACATCTGCAGCAGATGTTTTAAATAAAAAAAATGGGATAAGATTTGAAGAAGTTAGATTTTAGTCATTTATTTATATTTACAAATGACAGGAAGGTTTAGACAGCAAGGAGGCACAAGAACATTTCATTTTGATGAGCTTCAGACCGAAAAGGATGATCGGAATGTGACAACACATCAGACAGTCAGGAAATAAAACCAGAGGCACAGAGTGGAAGAACAAAGAAGGAAGGGAATAAAAGAAATGTGCGCTCATTTATGTGCAAAATTAAAAATAAAATAAAAAAGTTTCAATACTGTCCACGATAAAATCAACTCTTTTTTTTTCTATTTTTCTAATTGTCTTTTTTAAAATAACTGCTTATAATTAAATTACCTTTTCCACATGTAAGAACTGAGTAGAGCTTTTTTTATTGAAGGTAATGATAATACCTCAGAATTAAAAATATATATAACCCTCAAAAAGCTGAGGAGGAGAAACTCAGACATAAAGCAGGTCATGAACAAGTGAGGTAATAAAGAGAACACCGTGTTTGGTGTTTATTTGGTGCGTTTGGCGGCTGCGCGCCGTCTTGTACCCAGAGGGGAAATGTCTGAAAGGAAGTTCTGCTCAGTTTCACGCACGAGGAGCAGAACCCGAGCAATAAAAACAGAGTACCTACTGAGGTCTGCTCCGGCGAGTAGGCTTCCCTTTGTTTTTACTTCTGTTGGGGAGGAGGGGATTTCAGGAGGAGAGTTCCATTTATTATACACCCGGGAGTGCGTGTGCGTGCGTTTGAGGGGGCGGGCGGGGATGGGGGGGTGGGGTAATGGGCTTTGCTTTGTAGCTCACACTGTAAACATAAATAGAAGTGAGTCCGGTTCGAACTGGAACTGATCTTGACTAAGAAAGAAGAGCGAGTTCTGTGTCTTTTGTCAGTTATTTTACTAACAGAGCTCCTCCTCCCGCCATCAGCGTCCTAACGGCAGAGCATCAGTGACACCTCTCCCCATCTTCAAAGCACGGTCCAAAGTGCAGGTTCCGATGGTTATACTGGTTTCCCCTTGAGTTTTTACTTTGGGAACAGGGAATCCAAAAATAAAACAATTCAAAATATGACCGCGCTATAGGGGTCCGGCTGAGCCCGCCATAGTCTGGGAACACGTGGTTCCGTTCGGGCCCGAGCGGACCTTGGTGTTCGGCAGCTTGTGGTCCTTCTTCCACTTCATCCTCCGGTTCTGGAACCAGATCTTGATCTGCCGCTCCGACAAGCAGAGAGTGTGCGCAATCTCCACCCTGCGCCTGCGCGTCAGGTACCGGTTGTAATGGAACTCTTTCTCCAGCTCCAGAACCTGCTGGCGCGTGTAGGCTGTCCGCGAGCGCTTCGGCTCTCCGCCCGAGTAGCTGGAGTTCACTGCGGGAGGAACAGAGGAGGTTTAAGGAAGCAGAAAACAAAGCTTCCATCAATATTATCAGTTTCAAACATTTTTTAATAATTCAAATTAAAATAACTTCCCAAAACAAAGGCTCGCGAGCTCAGACTGAGCAGTTCAACAACAAGCCTCTGACTCTTCAGCTGATGTTTGGCGCTTGACATCCACCTGGACTGCGCGTGCACACCGCCCATGTGTTCCGCTCATTGTCACCTTTAACCTTGGCTGTATTAAACGACGGTGTCCCAAAACACGTGCGTTTATATGATTTTGTTGTTGTTTACCTTTAGCTTGAAATATTTATCCAATACATACAATTAACCCCTTAATGGTCACGTCACGGCCTGCGTTTTGTTCTTACAGGTCAGAATTATTACATTTTATTCAATGGCTCCGTTTGGCTGGTTTTGATAAATACTA